CTTTTTTACGCGTATTTGGGGCCCCCGTGGCCTGTACAAAATAAAACTCTTTAAAATAATAATCTTACATTCCTCGCGTACTTTTTTACGCGTATTTGGGGCCCCCGTGGCCTGGACAAAATAAAACTCTTTAAAATAATAATCTTACATTCCTCGCGTACTTTTTTAACGACATTAAATTTGGTTGAACGAAGTTTTCATAATTAATTCGTTTTTCATGATTTTTTTATATTATTAATGTTTCTTACGGTCATTGGGGGCCCCCTGGTTCGGGGGCCCCGTATATTTGATACGGCTGATACGACGGTAGTTACGCCCCTGATTCTTACGAAAACATACTTTTCAAGTAAAATAAAGTATTAGAATATAATGTAAAAATATTTCTGAGCATGCGTCCTTTTGGGCCGGGGCCCCCTTGGGCCGGGGGCCCGTGGCATTTTGCCACCCACGCCACCCTATAGTTACGCCACTGCATTTAATATACATACATATATATATATAGAGAATTTTATGATATGAGTGGAACGAATATTAATTGTTTAATATGAACAAAACAGCACTCAGATTTGTTTAACACAACTTTATTTTATGATTACAGACGTTTCGAGACCGTGGTGTGTCTCATCTTCAGTGTAATTTCAAAAACAGTTACTTATATACTACACATTCTTTAATAATATATTTAAATTTCATTTAATTTTTGATATACAAAAAACACCAACTATTCCTTGCAATGCTTGACACAGTACTAAAGAAACATATAACACTTACAGAAATATTCTAAACAAATTTGAAGTACTTATCTAGATGGAGACAGGATGGGTATCATTATAATGTAAACAAAAGGAGTGCTATCGCATACAAAAATCGATAAAAATGAAAAAACAAATTAATTTATTGAAAAGAATAAGATAAATGAAAAAAATTTTATAAATTATTAATGATGTTTATATAAGTGTCATGTAAAATATTTGTGTCGGTTCTTAGATTTATGCTATTGTTAGTCCGAACTATTAACATTGATTCTGCCATGCTCCGTTTAAATAAGTCTTTCTCATGGAATAAAATTTGGGGATTGTCAAAATCAAACTTATGGTTGTTGATATTAGCATGATCTACAAGTGTACTTTTAAATTTATGTTATCTATTTTTTCACATTGTAATTCATGTTGCCTGAGTCTCTTTTCTAAGTTCTGGCAGGTCTGGCCAATATAGGAGCAATTACAATCCAAACAATTTACTTTATAAACTATATCTTTCTTTTTTGTTAATGGAGTTTCATCTTTAATTTTGAATATAAAAATTTTAATTGTTTTAATGAAGAAAAAGTAATACGAATATTGTGTTTTTGAAAAGTCTTTTTGATAATTGGTTAAAATTATTGTCAAGATATGGAAAATTAATGAAAAAAGTTTTTTCAGGAACACTTGTTTTGCCAGGCTCTTCCGGTTTCTTATCAAAAGGTTCAAGTAATTTTGCGACTCTATTTTTAATAATTGGACAAATTAACTTATATGGAAAATTATTGCCAAGTAGGATCGTTTTAACTAATTTTATGTTTGTATCATAAAACAGAGGATCAGATAATAAAATAGCGTGATCTACAAGATTTAGAATGGTAGAAATTTTTATATTTTTATTTTTATATTGAGAGGAACATGCGAATTAAAATTAATGTATCTCCCGGATAATGATTCGACGTTACATTTTCTTGACGTAAAACTCATTAATAGAGGCGGTGTATGTTATACAGACTGGTACAGAAAAGATAGTTGGTCACAAAAGGAACATGCGAATTAAAATTAATGTATCTCCCGGACAATGATTCGACGTTACATTTTCTTGACGTAAAACTCATTAATAGAGGCGGTGTATGTTATACAGACTGGTACAGAAAAGATAGTTGGTCCGGGAGATACATTAATTTTAATTCGCATGTTCCTCTTAATATAAAAATTTCTACCATTCTAAATCTTGTAGATCACGCTATTTTATTATCTGATCCTCTGTTTTATGATACAAACATAAAATTAGTTAAAACGATCCTACTTGGCAATAATTTTCCATATAAGTTAATTTGTCCAATTATTAAAAATAGAGTCGCAAAATTACTTGAACCTTTTGATAAGAAACCGGAAGAGCCTGGCAAAACAAGTTTTCCTGAAAAAACTTTTTTCATTAATTTTCCATATCTTGACAATAATTTTAACCAATTATCAAAAAGACTTTTCAAAAAACACAATATTCGTATTACTTTTTCTTCATTAAAACAATTAAAATTTTTATATTCCAAAATTAAAGATGAAACTCCATTAACAAAAAAGAAAGATATAGTTTATAAAGTAAATTGTTTGGATTGTAATTGCTCCTATATTGGCCAGACCTGCCAGAACTTAGAAAAGAGACTCAGGCAACATGAATTACAATGTGAAAAAATAGATAACAAAAAATTTAAAAGTACACTTGTGGATCATGCTAATATCAACAACCATAAGTTTGATTTTGACAATCCCCAAATTTTATTCCATGAGAAAGACTTATTTAAACGGAGCATGGCAGAATCAATGTTAATAGTTCGGACTAACAATAGCATAAATCTAAGAACCGACACAAATATTTTACATGACACTTATATAAACATCATTAATAATTTATAAAAATTTTTTCATTTATCTTATTCTTTTCAATAAATTAATTTGTTTTTTCATTTTTATCGATTTTTGTATGCGATAGCACTCCTTTTGTTTACATTATAATGATACCCATCCTGTCTCCATCTAGATAAGTACTTCAAATTTGTTTAGAATATTTCTGTAAGTGTTATATGTTTCTTTAGTACTGTGTCAAGCATTGCAAGGAATAGTTGGTGTTTTTTGTATATCAAAAATTAAATGAAATTTAAATAAATTATTAAAGAATGTGTAGTATATAAGTAACTGTTTTTGAAATTACACTGAAGATGAGACACACCACGGTCTCGAAACGTCTGTAATCATAAAATAAAGTTGTGTTAAACAAAATCTGAGTGCTGTTTTGTTCATATTAAACAATTAATATATATATATATATATATATATATATATATATATTGAATGGTAGAGTCTTGGATTTGTGTATATTTTGTAGAGTTTCGAACAAGAATCCAAAAATAATACAAAATAAAAAACAAGAAAAGTTTTTAAAAAAACAATTTCTTTATTTAATTATTTGTTTATTGTCGACGTTTCGGAACTAGGTACGTTCCATCTTCAGGACATCTGTCAAGAAACATGATCTTGATGAGATTTTTGCAAACAATATGTTTAGGAAAAGAAAATAGATTTTTCTTAAATAATGAATTGAATTGTAAAAAATATAATAATGTACAGAAATATGATAATATGTTCAAAATAAAAATGATAAAAATAAATGAGTGGATTATCAAAACAGGATATTAAACATAATAGAAATTTTTTTGAAAGTTATGGAAATTTTTTAAGAAAAGGTTAATGACAAAGTTGAATTAATTACCTGTATGTTTGAATATTTGTTAGCACTTTTTCACTAAACAAGCTTTTTTAACGTAATGATTTTGTGAGTTAATTTTCCGCCGAATAATTAGATTTTGTAAATCAAAATTACTAAAAAACTTTGTCTTTTTTAAAATTATTATTTGAAAACACAAATAATATTGTTCTCTGGATGTTGTTCGATTGGTTTACGAAAATTAACTAAATGAAACTGGTGTGCCCTTTGTAACACGTGTAAACACTTGAACGAGAGATGTGAGATTGTATGTGTGTGTTTTTATATGTCAGGGTGTGAATACTTAAATTGTTGGTCTTAAAAGGAAGTCGATATTAATTGTTTGTCAAAAAGTGTAAAAAATTTAAATATGAATCATGTAATAGGTTGTGATCTGATCTAATGTTGACACTGTTAGAAACGTTTATGAGGATGAGACAACTCTCCGCGAATAACCTTCTAAAGATGCAACTTTCGTGATATAAAATCTTTGGAGTGAAATTAAATGAATGGGCGTTTTCTATAGAGTGTTGTACTAGGGTACTTTTGAAATTTTTTTGTTTATGGTGGACCACACTTAGTTCATGTTGTCTCATTCTCTTGTGTACATATTGGGAGGTTTGTCCAATATATTGAAAAGCACAGTCATTACAAGAAACAGAATATACTACATTAGTATTGAGATTGGATGGGGTGGGGGATTTAATGTTCGTAAAGAATTGGTTGAAGGAGTGTAAGGATGAGCCTGATACTAAAATGTTTTCTTCTAACAAAATTTTGGCAAAATAATAATATAAATCTTCAACGTATGGTATGCTGCAGTAAATAAGATTGGTGTTTTTGATGTTAGTACTGGTATTGGGAGAATTAATTTGTGTTTTTAAGAAAGTTCGTCTTTTTTGAATAACTGAATGAATGAGATTTTTTGGGTAACCATTTTCAATTAGAGTTATTTTTACTAGGGATAAATTTTGTGGATGGAAAGTTTGGTGAGACATATATATATATATATATATATATATATATATATATATATATATATGATATTCAGTTTTCAGGGCAATACATCAATTAAAAAATTTGTATGACTTTAAATCATTTTTATTTTTTCCATACGTTTCGACACATAGTTTTGTGTCATCTTCAGTGGACTATGTAATTGTAATAATCCTAATTATTTCCTGATTATAATTGTTCACAATGCACAATGAAACCAATTCTTGTCACTTTAAATGTAACAATAATAAATTTTTTGAATGAGTTATTTTATGAATTTGTAAAATACATCTCGCTATTCTGTATTCCGATGCAAGAGTCAATTTATAATTTGTAATATATAATATATATATATATATTGTATGATTCTGAATTTGATGTTGACATATGTATTAACAACTATTAATATATATGTGTGTGTATGTGTGTGTTTATAGTAGCATATATTAGCATTAGAATAATTAGCAATTTGGTAATGAGATATGATTCAATTGCAATAGGATGCTGAGTCTGGAGGATTTAGTGACAGACCAGGTGATGTGCCTGATCCCTTCCACACTCTATTTGGATTGGCGTCATTATCGTTATTGGAAGATGAAAATATTCTACCTGTAAATCCAACATATTGCATGCCTGAATATTCTTTAAAAAACATTAGTAAACCTCAAAGACTTACAATTGACATATAGTGCTTTGAATTTTTTTTATACTTATTTAGATGTAATAATTGTTTATAATATCAAAGATGCTTAATATATGTATATAAAGATTGCTGGCATTTAAATAATTGTTTGTAACATGTGCTAACTCACTCACAAGTAGATGTAATCCTTTTTTATTTGTATAATTTGCAAATCTTTTGTAAATTTTGTAAAAATTTCACTGCCACCACTGCATAGATTCATTTTCAAAATGCCTTTTTAACTCACGGAGCCCATTTGATTTTTAAATGTTTTTGGCAGACTGCTCATAATAATAATTTGCAATTTGCAAAGCTTGATATATACTAATAATAGCATCCAATATCTTTCGAACGGTTTTTGAATTTTTAAAATCGATTTAGAATTGCCATATAAAACGTGGACGAAAAATTTTTCACTTTTTTGCTATTTACAAAGAAACGACTCGGCCGATAGTCGCGCAAAGCTAATAAACGCAACTAATAACCTCATCGTGATGTATCGGATCGCTTTTTGAGAAAACGTCAATTTATGGTGAGAAATCTGTTCACACACACACACACACATACTTTTTCCAAATTTTCAGAAATGAAATTCAGAAATTCAAAATGGCTTGAAAATGAGAAAACATAAAATTAGCTAACCGAATTTTTTGATGGAAGCATAAACTTCTTCTTCGGGAAGTTAACAATATACATTTATAAAACTGTTTGTTTTTCAATAAGAGAATCAATAATTAATACCTCTTCATTTGGTGACAGCTAATTACGATACCTACTTCGAAATCATTAATAAAGCTAGTGGTGTGTGGCATCGCGCCTTAAGGCAAATTGCTGGAACCTCCCGTACAGTAATGCAATATTCGTGGAACATTCAATGTTTTCAAATAGATTATTATAAATTCTATAACTTATATATGCTTTCAGAAAACTAAAACTACAAAACTTAGTCAATCGAATTTAAAATGAAGGATATGATCTAATATTTATATGAATCATATAAACTTAATTGCAGAATTAAAATTATTTATTTGCAGTATATTAGTGTACTTTAGAACTTTAACTTAAGTAAAATTAAAATTTTATTTATTTTCGACATTAAAAGAAAATTAAATATTTTTTTCCCTAAAGCAATCGTTTCGTCGACACAAGCAGCAAAGTTTTCTGAATCATTTAATTCAGATGCTTAGTTCTCGTGAAAACTGCCATTTTTGCATATTTAACTCGGTATCTCCGAAACGGCTGGACCTAAAACTAATCACCACTTAAATTGAATATTTTTTGGATCCGAAAAATTGTATTCATACATATACACACTCACTCTCACACACACACGCAATCACACACATCTCGGGACTGAATTATAGATAAATTAGAGTTATTATAGATAAATTAGAGTTATATTTTTAGAATTATAGATAAATTAGAGTTATAGAAATTATTTTTGTATTTCTGATTGCTGAAATAAAGTGAAATAAAAAAAAATCTCGGGGCTGAGGAGAAACTGCTACCGGGCGCATCTGCACGTGTGGATTGGAGAAAGCTCTACCTGTTTCTGGTTCGCAAAACTTGGTTAGCGATTAGAAATATAGGGAAGGAGTAAAAAAAATAGCTCCCGTGTACAAAACTCTTCTACGTCTGGATAGGGTTGGTAATTCCATCTGACCATGCACAGGGAAAGTAACGTTGTTTATGTCAATGATTATAGATAGGTATAAAGCAGAAACGTTTACAGTACAGAGAATGGATACTTCATTCAGACAGTCCACAACCGTCAGACGCATGCGCAAACTGTTCGTCTGGCACAGATATAATGTATCTTATATTATTTTAATTTTTAGCACATCTCAACTGCTTTTCGGCAATAATAATGCAGACATTACATTTTACTTATTCTTAATTATAAATATATTATATTCTAATATTATCTTAGTTCATAAGTGAATTGCAATTTTTGGCAGATGACAGTTTTCATTAGTTTTTAATGCCAAACAATATCTCAATTATTTTCAACGTCAAACAATGATAAGCGGTTTTTGTAATTTTTTCCATTTATTTTTACTATGTAACTATATTTCTATAACCATAACATACTAAAAAATTCCCTTGACAGACGTAGAAGGATTTATCAAAATCGATTAGGAGGAATATCCTTTCATATTCGACTTTTGTTCCATTCATATGTCGAGAAATTACATTATTAATATATAGAGATACAACATAAGATTCAATCAGCCATAACATATAATACTTATACTTATTAGAATATATCAAGCTTTGCAAATTGCAAATTATTATTATGAGCAGTCTGCCAAAAACATTTAAAAATCAAATGGGCTCCGTGAGTTAAAAAGGCATTTTGAAAATGAATCTATGCAGTGGATGGGAATCATGCTGATTAGTTTTTGGTAAAGACTCGCTGAGACATGTTCTTGTAATTAACTGGTGAAAATTTTTTATACATTATTTTTTTAGCGATTGATAACATGGTCTGCCAGATCTGAAATATTACGCCTCGTTTAACTTTGAAAATTCGTTAAAGTTTGAAGAAATTAGTTGCGCTTTTTTGCGCTGGTCAAAATTAGACCTTTTCTAATAAAACACTAATCGGCTAATTCTAATCTAATTTCTCAAAAACAGTTGAGTCTATTTTAAAAAATTTTAAATCATTTAATGAAACTTAATAAGCACTTGCGTCGGTTAGATTTTTGATACAATCGGTGGATCCGTTTTTTGTTATGAGCAGAAAAGTGAAAAATTTTTCGTCCACGTTTTAGCCAAAAATTTTGAACCGATTTTAAAAATTCAAAAACTGCACGAAAGATATTATTTGGGAGTCGTGCTAATTACTTTAGTACAGAAATCGGTCGAGCCGTTTCTTCGTAATTAACTGTTGACAAAAAATGATGAAACTTTTTATGTGAACAGATATCATGGTCCTGAACAACATACTAAAATTTTACGTTTCTACGGCAAGTAGTTTAATTTTAAAAATTCATCAAAGCTTGAAAAAATATCATAGTCAGAATTTGTGTCAAAAGTTGCTTTTGTGATACGATGCGTCAAACATTATCAATTCATAAAAATTTATAATAATGAGCTACTAATTTTAGGACACTAGCACTAGTGTCTGTGCACTATAAAATATAATTACAGATATTATAAACATGTATGAGAGATATCAATTGGAAATAGAAATGTTTAGATTCAATTGATAGCGATAACTTTATTTTCCAAATATATAGTTGAAATATATAGTTATCTAAATATCTAAATCTCAAATTCGGTTGATTAAGTCAATTATTACATATTTCAGGAAGTACATGCAACTTCCTTCTTCTTAAGGCTAAATGCCACTTTCAACTAGGTTTCCTTTTTTTATAAGTTTTTTAATCTCGAAGCTATAGGAAAAACTACTTTTGCGCTCAAGGTTGGAAGTTGAGAATCCAGCCGCTTCTTTGAGTATTCCAGTCAAGTTTTCAATATTTTTGTCTATTTCTGTAGTTGTTTGCAGTCGTATACTCAGGTCTAGTTTTTGTGATGTAGATCCTACAGATAGTAACAACGGAGTATTTTCTGAGGACAGATCTATGAGTCAGCAAATCCGGATGTTTATTTGGATCGGATGGCCAGTAAGCTGGGGACCATGGTGTAACTAGTTGGTATTGGTATTTAGCCTTTAAAGTAAATCGTCTAATTTTAATTTTAACAAACGCCAAAAAACTACTCATTTTCTCAAACTTTGATGAATTTATAAAATTAAACTACTTATCGTAAAGCCGTAATATTTCAGTACGTTTTATAAGACTATACTATATATGTCCAAAAAAAGTTCCATAATAATCGACTTAAATTTTTTTTCAACTTTTTCATTTTTTTTATTTTTTAAAATCGATTCGGTAGTTTCAGCCCAAATGTGGACGAAAAGTTCAACCCTTTTTTTCAAATTACAAAGAAACGGTTCGGCCGATCGTCAGACAAAACTGAGAAACGATAATCTTCATCGAGATTGAAATGGGTTAAGGCGTTTTTGAGAAACCGTCGATCAAGTCTAATTTTGACGAATGCCAAAAAACGATACCAATTTTTGTAAACTTTGACGAATTTTTAAAGTTAAACGAGTTGTCATAGGGCCATAATATTTTAGTATGATCTATAAAACTGAGGTATCTACCGTCAAAAAAATTCTTAGAAATCGTCGAAAAAATTTTTTTAACACTTTATTACAAGAAAACGGTCCGGTCGATCTTCACCAAAAACTAATCAGCACGATTCCCAACCAATATCTTTCGAACAATTTTTGAATTTTCAAAATCGATTCACAATTGCGGGCTAAAACGTGGACGAAAAATTTTTCACTTTTCTGCTATTTACAAATAAACCCTTTGTCGCGCAAAACTGACAAACGATAGTCCTCATCGAGATATATCAAATGGTTTTTAAATTTTTGTAATCGGTCTAGCCGTTTTCGAGAAAACGTCGATTTACGGCAGAAAATCTGTTCACATACACACACACATACTTTTTCCAAATTTGGTCTCATTCGATTCAGAATGGCTTGAAACGTCGAGAAAACATAAAATTAGCGAATCGAATTTTTTTATGAAAACATAAACTTCTCCTTCGAGAAGTTAATAAAAGCATAATTATATTTTCAAGTTTTTGACTTTTTTTGGTTATAATTCTGGAACTCAATAAGGTATTCTTGCAATTGAAATCACCTCCGACAAAAAATTTGGAGCCAAGTGTCTTAAAAAATTTTTAGAACATGTTCAAATTTGATGTTGTTCCTTGGTAGACAGTAAGTAGCGGAGATGGTCAAAAGGTAGTCTGTAAGTAAGCGGAATTAAACTTTGTCTATTTGTAATGTTTCATGTTAGATTTAATTAGTATTGCATTTGCGGCGTGGCAGCCAGCATCATGTTGTGGTGTGTGATATGCTTTATAGCCAGGTATGTTGAATTCTGCGTTTTCTGGAAGATGTGATTTGCTTATAGAAAATATTTTAGT